TTTTTTTTTTTACATAAAATAAGTAACCATCACCAGATTGCATTAAAATAAAAACAATCATTCCCAACTAGACTCCTACCACTCTAAAAATATACAATTTCTCCTTCTCCTAAAAACAAAAAAGTGAAAGAAATAAAGAAAAAAATTTTTTAATCTCAACAGGAACAATGTTCTCTGCTCATAGTGGATGGGCAAAGCAGCTTTCAACTGAAAGCTATTACTGGAAATTAGCCTTTCCTCATTCAATAAATTATTCCGGGGATGGCCATTTAGCTCAGTTAGAGCACAGCCTTCTAACACCAAGGTCGTGGGTTCGGATCCCCGTACTGGCCAGCTGCCAAAAAATAAACAAATAAATAAATAATTCCACATCAAGTGACTGTAGAAGTGCCCAGCTCACAGCAGGTGCTCTAGAGGCAGGTGTCCACTTCCCTTAACCAGACTTCCAAACCCTAAGTCTGTTTGTTACGTGGCTGCACTCTTTCCTTTCTCTGTGGTGTGTGGGTAGTGACTGACCTTGCTGTGCAGGTCCCTGGGTAGATTCAGACTCTGGGTCCTTTCAAACTGCTCCATGAGGGCTCTTGTCACCTGGCTATCAGAGCCTGAGAGCAGCCAGAAGATCCTCTCCATGTTGTAGGGCACCTNTTTATTTGTTTCTGTATCTCTAGCACCTAGTGCAGTTTCTGGTGCAGAGTAAATACACAATTGAAAGAATGAATGAATGATGTTCCAGCAAATGGAGTGTCTCCTATGTGTACCACCAGGAAGAGAATAAAGAAGTGGGGGGTATGGTGTCTGTGCTCATGGAACACCTCATTCATATGAGAAAAAGGAATGGATGTCAAAATAAACCACTAACCAAATAAATTGATCTTTGGTTGCATTAAAAGGATAGAATTCAGCAGACAAAAGTTCCACTCCAATCTGTGTGGGTATTGCTCAGCCTAGAGAACTGTATCCAGTTTTCAGACTACTCTTTAAGATGAACATTGACCATGCAAAACTATGTCATGTAAGGGACAGCTAAAGGAACCGGGAAAACTAAGTCAGTAAATGAGGATTCTCTCCTAATATGGGGAAAACTTTGAAGAAGAATCGGACTGCTCAAGCTAAAAGGAACAGATTCCAGCTCAACTTAAAGAACTCTGTAATGACTAGAGCTGGTGTGAGGTAGCGAGGTCATGGTGACTAGAGGTATACATGATCTGGATGACCACTTAGTGGGAATGTGGGACAGGAGATTAAAGGCAGCTTCAGAAATTCCAGGGTTTTGTTTTTTTTTTTACATAAAATAAGTAACCATCACCAGGTTGCATTAAAATAAAAACAATCATTCCCAACTAGACTCCTACCACTCTAAAAATATACAATTTCTCCTTCTTCCAAAAACAAAAAAGTGAAAGAAATAAAGAAAAAAAATTTTTAATCTCAACAGGAACAATGTTCTCTGCTCATAGTGGATGGGCAAAGCAGCTTTCAA